TTTCATTGTTCTGGACCAGTCTGTGTGCTGCTGGGGACTTGGGTAGGGCCACTGCTTCCCTAAATTGACACAGAGCATCCTCCTCCCACCTGTTTAGCTCCTACCATTCAAAAGAGATGGAGTTCATGAAAAAAAAAAGTAATCTGCTACAAACTGAACACCAAAATAGAAAACTATTCTTAGCCTATACTTTCCTATAGAAACTTTGACTGGGATTCAGTTTCCAAAGATGCAATGTGCCCGTGGCAGCCCCACCTCTGTGGCAGAGGCAGAAATTCCAGGACGGCGGGGGTGGGGACAATTAAAACCTTCATCTAATTTGCCTGAAGACATGTTATGCTATATCCCCCTTTCTCTCTCTCTCTCTCTCCCTCCTTCCCTCCCTCCCTCTTTTTTTCCTCCTTTCCGTCCTCTCCCTCCCTTTCTCTCAGCCAAACTACCTCTCTCCTCCTTCCTTCCCTCCCTCCCTTCTTTCCTTTTTCTCTTCCAACAGGTGAGAAAACTAAGACCCAGAAAAGTCAAATAACTCATCTGTCTACGGTTATACTGCCAGAAAATGACAGAGGTGGAATCCAGCCAGGTTGGAGTCAAGTTTACAAGCCAAGGGGATTGGACTTCCCCTGAAGGCAATGCAACACCACTAAAGACTTTTGAGCAAGAAAGAGGCATGGTGGTCAATAAACTTTCCTCCAGTTGCAGTGTGCAGACTGCATGGGGGGGGTGGGGCAGAGGGCCTCCCCAGGCAGCCACAAAACATCAGGTCAGAACTGAGAAGGGGCTGGGCTGGCGCAGCGTCAAAGAAAAGAAGAAAACCAACCACAGTAAATGTAAAAGTCAAATTAAAAAGGACGGGGGTGAGAGCCATTTTTAAAAGACTTTTTCCTCCGTACACAGCATTGAAATAAAAATTCATCTTTGTTGTACAGAAATGCAAACAGAAAAGATGCGCCTCATGCAGACAGTGTTTAAAGTGCAAGTTCCCTCCTCCTCCTCTCTTCAGAGATAAGCTCCCTTAATAGTTTGTGCTAAATCTTTCCTGCATTTATGTAAAACTATACAACACATATGCATCTACTCGCTTTTAATGTTCTTTTCTAATGTGTTCTGACCGAACATTTGCTCTGTCTCTCGCTTTTCACCACGTAACAGTATAGCAGGAACAGCTTTACACATCAGGATGGTAAATTGTTCTCCTTCTTTTTCATGGCTTTGCCACTTACCTGCTGTGCGACCTTGCACCAGTTACTTAACCTCTCTGAGACTTGGTGTGCTCATTCTCTAAAAGGGGATCAAAATCCTACTTGCCACAAAGGGCTGCTGTGAGGATTAAATGAGTTAATACACCTATGGCAGGTTGTACGGTATCTGACACACAGTACGTGCTCAAAGCAATTGGTTCTTAAGGTTGTCAATAGCTCCGTGTGCAGCTATACCATGATTTATTTAGCCAGTTCTATATATGATCACTTAATGTGATGTGTGGTTTGCGAAGATGGCCACAACAATTCTGCCCGTGTGCAGAACACATGACTGTTTGCAATGGGACTTGATATTTTTCCTATCAGGAGATGGGGTCTAATTCCTCTCTCCTTAAATGTGAGCTGGCCACATTATGAGCTTTGATCAAGAAAATGCAGTGAAAGTGATCCTATGGTGCTTTTTAGCGGACGCCTCAAGAGGCCTTGCTGCCTTTGTTCTCATCCTTTTAGAGGCCACCGAGCAAGGAAGCCTGAGCCAGCTTCGCTGAAGAAGGCACATGAGGGGCCACCAAGGCACTCAAGCCCGGGCCCAGTCAGAGGCCAGGCCTGTGAATGAAGCCATATAAGACCAGCCATCTTGCCAACTTTTGACTGCAAATGAAGGAATAAGCCCAGGCAACAGAAAAGATCTATCCCAGCTTTTTAAATATATATTTTATTTACTTTTAGAGAAAGAGAAATGGAGAGAGAAAGAGAGGAACCGTTGCCTGGTTCCATTGCCAGGCACCATTGCCTCTCCGACACCCGCAACTGGCGACCTGGCCCACAACCCAGGCACGTGCCCTGACCAGGAATCAAACCAGGAACCTTCCAGTTTGCAGGCCGGCACTCAAACCCCTCAGACATACCAGCCAGGGCAGAGCTGTCCCACCTGAAACAAATCTAAACTGTCAATCTACACAAACAACCAAATAAGTGATTGTTGGCTTAAACTACTCTGTTTTGGGATGATTTGTTAAGCAGCAATAGAAAGCTGATACATTTACATTCTTAGTGCAATTGAGTATGTGAGTACGACCCAGGTTGAAATGCAGGCTCCATCTCTGACATATGACCTTGGCCATGCCTGGTAATCTCTCTGAACCTCAGTTTCCTCATCTGTACAATGGGATACACCGAGTTCCTGCCTCTTTAGACTGATGTGAGGATTAAATTAGATGAGAACACTCGGTGTTCATTGGCACAGGGCAACTACTGTCGGCATTGCTGACTGTGTTGTTGCTGTTATTTGAAGGAAGTTGAGAGTCATGATGTGGAGGGTCAGAAAGAGTGAATGTGAAAGATAATTGAGCTGGTCTTTGGAGACTCCATAACTAGTGGACACTGGAGACTGAGAGATTCCTGGGCCCAGAGACCCATAGCAGGCTGACCTGGGAGAAAGAAGGAGTTGGGTCTCACTGTGTCCTGCATAGTACAGAGAGACTATATGTGTGTGCCTGGGTAAACCCTCCAAATTAGGTCATGAATGGAGGCTACAGTTGGGTGAAAGAAGGAAAAATAATGCTGTGGGAAGGACTACGATCATAGGAAAGTCGTGAGGGCTAAGTCTTGGGAAACACCCCAACTCTTTTCAGATGAAATCCCAGACTCCTTACCATTGCCTGAATGCCCTTCCCACCTCTCCCATCATATTTCCTACCTTCGTTCCCTCATTCACAGTGTTTCAGCCACCCCAGGCTCCTTCAAACTTATTAAGCTCTTTCCTACCTCAGGACTCTTGCACTTACAAGTGTTTGTTCTCAGAGCAACTATCTGAGCCACTGAGTCTAAAGTTCTCCCCCATCTTACCTTCTTCTCATCTATTTGTTTTTCCTTCATACCACTTATCACTACCTAACATTACTTTTTTGATTCAGTTGTTTACCTGTGCATTATTTGTTTCTCACTCTAGAAGGTGAGAAATAAGGAAGTGCTATCCGTCTTGCTCATACCACATCCCCGGCACTTAGCACAATATCTGGCTCGTAGTAAGTGATTAATAGCTGTAAACTAAATAAATGTGAACAAAGGTGGGGAACAGAGAGCATTGAGAGCCAAAAAGACATGGCCCAAGAGCTAAGTGGAAGGCTAGCCATTTCTTGAAAGACAGCTTCACAGAAACATTGGGATCATCTTCTCTAACGTCCTCAGTCCACAGGTGGGGAAGCAAAGGCCAGAGAGGGTCAATCACCAACCTGAGGGCACCCATTACTGTGGGCTTCTAGCTTACTGAGATCAAATATCACAGACCTGTCTGACAATGAGGCCCAGAAAAAAGTCACCACCACCCTCCTGAGGCCATCACTGTAGGTCTGCAGCTGCCACCACCCTCATGCCATCCCATGGGGGAGGAAATTGTTTCTTTGGGAGCAGAGTTGCCAGTCAGCTGACAAACTGCCAAAGGAGGGCTGAAACTGGTGCGGAGGTTCATCCCTTGGCCAGGCGGCTATTCTGAGGCAGCTCTGGGATAATAGCTGGTAGTACCAAAATAGCCCAGCCTCTTCACCCTTGTCCCAGCCCTCACACCTCTGCCCCATCAGAGGTGAGACTAATTCTTGAATCATCTCAGCAACACTTACATATGCCAGCTTTTAGCAGGGGCTGCAGGGCACAGGGTGATCATCAGACCAAGCCCAGTCCACTGGGGGCTGAGAGTCTGATGGAGGAGGCAGGCTAGGGACCAGCCAGACTGCTGAATGCTGGTGCTTCAGTTTGGGGGAGCTCAGGGAAGGAAGAACCTCAGAGGAAAGGACTCTTAAATTATTTGGATGGACTTTTGTAAGTTATCCAATGCGGGAAGTAACAGTAACAGAAGGCACTGCCAGTGCGAAGGGAGGGAGGAAACACGAGTAAAAATTTCAGGAATAATTTGGAGTTTTAGTGGGTGGGAGCATCAGGAACTTGAGAGAGGACGACAGAAATGGAAGTGGGGATGGGGGGTGTCCAAATGATGTAGATACTTGGATGTCAATAGGAGAGATTTGCTACCTTTGGTGCACAAAGGAGAATCTTGGGAGATTTTTAACCAAGAAGTCACCACGATTAGGTTTGCAGAGTAGAAAGTGTCCTATGGCTGCTCTGGGGATATAACGCGGGCACCCCAACAGGGGTGGGGGCAGACCTAAGGGTGAAAACTGCTATTCTGGATGAATAGCAGTTTACTTAGATAGGTTTACTGTGGGAGGCAGGATTGGGTCTCAGTCTCTAGAAGGCTGATATTGTCACCTCCTAGACTCCTGCGCCACCCCACTCCCGGGGTCCAACTTTGGTTCGCTTGCTCCCAACTCGAAGTTTGAGCAGGCAAAAATGTGCTACTGGAACCCTAACCCTGGATAAGGGGTCCGAGCAAGAGACTTCAAATCCCAAAATGCTTCGCTCTACAGCTCTGCAGGTCGCGCATGCCTCTTTTCAAGAAAGGCGGGCCGGCTCACAGATTGATGGGACTCGTCAGCTTGGTGAAGTGCGGGAAACCTAGGGACCGCCATCTTAGCTTGGGTCAAACCAATTGCACATTTAGGGGAAAGTTGGTGCTCGCTGTCTCGTAAGTTCTTAAAGGTAGTGAAATAAAACACGCTCAATTATTGCAAGTCTCTTTATTATGCTGTAGGCGAAGAACGCCTTCCAATTTTCGCCCTTGTCCGGAAGCGGACCCAGGGCTACGATAGGACATTCCAGCATGGCAGCATTCAGCGAGATTCCGCTAGGGGCGGGGTCTGAAGTAGTCCCGCCCCACTTGCTGGTGGGAGGATGTTTCCGCTTCCGTCAGCGGCGGCTGCTGCCTCGCTCTGGTCCCTGCGGCTGGCGGCCGAGCCGTGTGTCTCCTCCTCCGCCGCCGCCATATTGTCTGTGTGAGGAGAGGGGAGAGCGGCCGCTACCGCTGCCGCTTGCACCACAGGTACCCTGGGAGCCGCCCGGCGTGGCCGTTGGGGGGTGGGGATTGGCCCAGGATGGGCAACCGGGCGCGACCGCCCCTTGTGCTTCCAGCAGACTCCGGAGCGGCCTGTCGCCCTCCCCTGCCCCCCCTGCACACACCAGCGGAGGCGCCTGCAGCCCATCGGGGAGGCCCGGGGCCACCCGACCCCCGGACCCAGGGCGGGGAGCGAGACTTGGGGGCAGATGCTGATGTGAGGGTGGGATCTAGGTCTCGGGAGTTCAGCTTATTAGCGGGAAGAGGGCTGCACTGGGGCGGGGACTAGGGGGCATCTTGGAGGCGGGGGTCGCCAGAGGGGGAAGGAAGCTTAAGGGGTGGGGCTGCAGGGGATGTTGGGGGCCGGTTCCGAGGGGAATGGTGCCTGCTGGGTAGGGTGGGGTGAACCCTCCCTGGGAGCCTAGCAGCTGGGGTGGGGGCCTTCCAAGGGTCCCTGTCGGCGAGGCTGGGCTCTCCACCTGCTGACTGGGCTGCAAGGTGGAGGAAACTCGGGGCGAGGTCGTGGGGGAGAAAGAAGGAGGGAACGACGAAGTGTGGTAGACGGGGTTGGAGTTGGAGTTAAGGGGTAGTTGGGAGACTGGGTGGAAGAGGAGAGAGATGTAGAATTAAAGGCTGGCTAACAGTATACATGTTAGTGACCTTTTGAAAGTGTAGGACTTTTATTTCGTTTCCCCGCCTCCCTCCCCAACCCCCGGCTTTGGAACATTTTTAGCCGAGGCAGGTGATGGGTGGAGCTTCTGTAGTTTGTTTTTGGGAAGCAAAGTCAGGGTCAGGAGAAGTTGCTTCTTGGCTATTGCTATTGTGGGAAGCAAGAGTTCTGAAAAGGAGGTGGCAGATTAATCTCAGAAGACTTGATTATCTTTCAGCTGCTAAGTGGTGTGAGAAGGGTGTGTGGGGAGAAGAAATGAAAGCTAGAGAATGAAGTTTTTTCTAAGAGTTAGGAGGCCCCCCTCCATCTAAGGGGTTACAGTATAGGCCCAGCGGTAAATAAGACTGCCAGTCCAGACTGCCTGGATTCTCAAATATCTGTGCTACTACTACAGAGTCGTGTGACCTCACTTCTGTAAGCCTCAATTTTTCTGTCTGTGTAATGGGTATGATAGTATTCTCTAAATTATAATGGTGGGGAGTGAGTAAGATTTGTGTCCAGTGCTTACCACGGTGCTTAGCAGATAGTAAGTGCTCAATAGATTGTACAGTAACCAGTATTAAAAGGGACTAGCTGGTATATTTGAGGTTGCCCCATTCTGAGTGAAATTTATAGTCAAGAATCTGACAGTATTCCTCGGCTGGTGTAGCTCAGTGGATTGAGCAAAGGTCTGTGAACTAATGGATCATGGTTTGATTCCCAGTCAGGGCACATGCCTGGGTTGCAGGCCGGTTCCCAGTAGGGGACACACGAAAGGCAGCCATACATCGATGTTTCTCTCCCTCTCTCCTCCCCTTCCCCTCTAAAGATAAATAAAATCTTTAAAAAAAAAAAAAAAAGAATCCGACAATATGTAACCCCTCAGTGTTATCTTTGTAGTCCTTGCAGTGTTTTTGTTTCGGTGTCTTTTGGGTTAACCAGCTTGGTGGACCTTGAACTGAAAGATCAGGACCAGTACTGGTTCTCCCTCATCATTTTAAAAAGTTCACCTGCAGTTTTACCTGAATAGGTTTGTCCTTTTGTGACTTTGAAATAGGTGAGTTGCATTTTTATTGGACGACAACAGTGTATGATTTGAATAAGGAAAGAGAAAGGTTTGAAGGTTTGCTTAGAATGGTTACAAAGTTAGGTTACCTTGGGGCATCTAATTTCTAGCTGTGCCCTCTTGTGTTCTCAAGGATATAGTAGAGAAGAGAAGAGTGCATTTCACGATATAGTAGAGAAGAGAAGAGTGCATTTCACGGGGTGCACTGGGTTAGTATCTGCCTAATGGACTGATGAATGGCCTTGCTCTTTGAGGATGAAACAAGTGGCAGCTTCTTCTCCATAGTGTATTTTTAAGCTTTCCTGTCACCTAGCCATTCTCTTCAGGGTGAGGCCTTGATCTTACTGTTGTCTCTATCTCTGAACATACACCTTTCTTTACTTTACATACTCTTGATGAAAGGAAAATTTTTCTTTAGGTGCTGAGTTTAAAGTCTTATATAGAGTTTGGGCTTATAGTAGGCAGAATGCCCTCCCTCCCTTGCCAAAAAAGATGTTCCTACTCTAATCCCCAGAATCTTTACATAAGTAACATGGTAAAAGGGACTTGGCAGATGTAATTAAGGTTAAGAATCTTTAAAATAGGAAGACTGTCCTGGATTTTACAGGCAGGTCCAGTCTAATCACGTGAGCCCTTAAAAGCAGAGAACTTTCTCCAGCCAGGAGTTAAAAGAGAGGGGGGCATAAGGGAAATCAGAGAGATCTGAATCGTGAGAGGGACTCCATTTGCTCTTGCTAGAAGGGTGAGAGGGAATGTGGGTGGCCTCTATTAGCAAAGACCAGCCCTGGCGACAGCCAGCAAGGAAATGGGGGCCTCAGTCCTACAGCCACAAGGAACTTAATTTGGCCAACAGTCTTTCCAATGAGCTTGGAAACGGAGTCTTCCCTAGAGTTTCCAGCCAGGAGTACACCTTGATTTTGGCCTTGTAAGATCCTAAGCAGGAGATACAGTCAAGTTCACCAGACTTCTGACCTACAGAAACTGAGATAATAAATTTCTGTTGTTTTAAGTCATTATGTTTGTGGTAATTTGTTATGGCAGCAATAGAACACTAGTATAGATTTTGGTACCAGAAGTGGAGTACTACTACCTAAAAATGTGGAAGTGACAGTAGAGGTCAGAAAATTTTGAGTATGATAGAAAAGGCTTAGGACAACAGATGGTTACTAGCAACACGGATGTTAATGCCTCTGCTAGTGAGGGCTCAGGTAGAAGTGGGGTATGTGTTGGGGACTGGAGCAAAAAGGATGCTTGTTACAAAGTGGCAAAGCAGCTTAGAATTGTGTCTTGTAGTTACATGGAAAAGAAAGTAAGTGATAAACATTGATATTTGGCTGGGGAGATTTCCAAGCAAAGTCTTAAAGTTGGTTTGTTTGTATGGGATGTTAGTCTGACTAATGGAGCGAATTTAGGAAATTCACATAAAGCCTTCTGGGTCCTTGAGAATTTATACTATCAGAAACAGTGACAGCTTGGATTGAAAGAGACAGTAGCAAGTTAAAGAGGGCTGTGAATCCCCTAAATTCTGGCAGGAAAGGGTGGGGGGTTGCTTGGAATTAAGGGCCCAGAGAGGTAGAGCTGCATACGACTGAAGATTTTTCTCTGGTTTTGAAACGGAATGGAGTTTGCTCAGGTTTTGAAACTGCTGTGGACTGACAGATCTGTTTCTCTTACATTTTCTCCGTTTGGACTGGAATGTTTATAACATTGCTCTATGCCTGACCCACAGGGATTGTAGTTAATGTACAGGGTCCGGCAGAAGTGACACCTGCTTGAGTGTGGTTGGTAGGGTAATAGAGGTGTAATAATTTATAATTTTAATTTGAACATTTCACCTAGAATGTTGTATGGTGTGCTGGGGTGTGATATTGTTGTGTTATAGAATTACATGCTTATGATTTTGTATTTTGTAATAAAAAGGGGGTGTTATTTATGCCTGTATTATAGTCAGAGACTCATCTACACCTGATTTAGATGATGATGACATTTGGGACTTTTGACTTGATGAGTTTTAGTCAGGAGGCTGGATGGTGGATGTGGTAGGAAAAATGACACCTCTCACCCCCAAAAGATGTCCATATCCTCATCCCTGCGATCTAAATTATAGTAACATTATGTGGCAAAGGGAGTTTTCAGATAGGAAATTACTCTATTGCGGATCATCCTGGGTTGTCTGGGTGGGTCCAATCTAATCACATGAAAACAGAACGTTCTCCTGCCGGAATCAGTTTTGAGGCATGAGAGGCACTCAGCCTGCCATTACTGGAGGGGGCCACATGGAAAGCATAAGAAGAAATGTGTGCAGACGACCAACAGGGAAATGGGGACATCAGTCCTGTGACCAAAAGGAACTAAATTCAGTCACTGAGTACACTACGCTTAGAAACATTTCTCCCAGTTTCCAGCAAGGAATGTAGCCCGGTGGACACCTTGATTTGCCGCCTTGCAAACCCCTAAGTAGAGGACCCACCCACCCAAGCTCACCTGATTTCTGACCTATAGAAACTGTGAGATAATGTTTATGTTGTTTCTGGTGATTTGTTATAGCAACAGTAGAGACCTAATAGAAAGGTTTTGCTGATTTTATTTAAGAATCTTTGGGGGATTATTTTCTGGAGAACAAAGGGGCAAAGATTATTCTGTAAAGTGATTTGGTCCTGGAAGACTCTGCAGAATAATGGGGTTGAGTGGAACCTATACCTCTTCCTCAATGCTTTTGTATCTGTTACTGTCCTTACTTGCAATTTGAAGGGGCTAGTTGACCAGCTTAGGAGAATGTAGATTCAAGAGCTACAGACCATTTTAGTAGGACCTCTATAAATTAATGATTCTCCCATGTCTATAATAAATGTTGGGCAAAAGTGTTTTTTTTGTTTTTGTTTTGTTGTTTTTTAGAGAGAGGAAAAGATACATCAATATGTGGTTGCCTCTTGTGCCCCCAGCTGGGGACCTTGTCCATTACCCAGGCATGTACCTGACTGAGAATTGAACCAGCGGCTCTTGGGTTTGCAGGCTGATGCTTAATCCCACTGGCCCCACTGAGCCTCACTGGCCAGGGCTCTTCATTAATTTTTATTGGCTACATAAAGCAATGAGTTTGTGACAACCATTTAAAGATTTATTTTCTGGGATTTTTTTAGAGGAGATAGAAATGGACGGTGGTTTTTATGAATTTGTAACCACCAAGAAACACAGTCTGTTCCTTCACACCTCCCATCCCAACCCAGAGATGTCGTAAGGTCTTTTCTCCCGATCCTTGTCATTGGAGATTAA